AAAAAAAAATCATTTCTTTTATTAACATTTCTGTAGTTATTCTAAGTGAACAGTGAATGATCCTACTATACAGTCCATATAAAACTGTTATTTTATTCAGTAGTGTCGTTATACAAATAAGATATCACAATAATTAAATTATTAAATTATATATAATAATATATACACTTATTAGATATTCATTTGAATGAATTATTAAGTCAAAAGATACTTACTTGATACTTCTTCAAATTCACTAATAGAAAACCATAGAAAATCCATCCATAAATCTTCAATGTACTTATACATACTTACTGTAGCCCCCCCCCCTTCCCCCCGATTTTGTTTTTGCGATATCTCCGGGAATAACTGTGCACAAACGATCTGTCGAAACAGAATTTCAAAATTCCAAATCGGGGGGCTGTCGATTCTACGGCCCCCCGAATTTGATTTAGGGATAATCGCCACAGTTTTTGTGCACAAACGACCGGACTTGGTGCACATTCGTGCACAAACGATGCACAAACGATCTGTCCAAACAGAATTTCGAAATTCCAAATCGGGGGGGGGGGCGTAGAAATGTACCCCAATAAATCGAGTTCTGGTATAGGTCAGTAAAGTAAAAAATTAAGTCATTGCAATATAGAACATGGTATTAAAAAATCATAGTTATGTAACAAAATAGGAAAACACTTACTAATAAATTAATTTAGTTAATGATTAATAATAATAACGTTTAAAAAAAATCAAGTTTTAACTATAAACATAACTTCATGTCCTACTCTTTTTAGTGAACAATTATGGCTTATTTATGTAAAAACAAAAATAAAATAAGAATTAAATCTTGAATAAAATGTTTAAAAATTAAGAGTAGCACTTTCTTGTGAATCATAAATTTAGTGAATGCCTTAATCAGTCTTCTATTAAATTTCGTCCATCAATATTCAATGCTGCTTATCGCTTTTTACAGTACTGACAGAACGAAATAATTAAATTATGAATTGATGTAACCGCCAACAATGACACTTTCGTCCTATCACGTTTCACTGAAGGCCACTTGCATCTTTTAACTTTCGCATACATTTTTCAATCTCTCCAATTATATGACGTTTACAACCACATGTTAACTGTTAAGACATCGATTGTAAATAATAAATAAGTGATATCGATGTTTATGTTGGATGAATCGATGTTAATTTTTCCATTTAAGACAATGTGCAAAAAAGTAACCTAACCTTCTAACCATATAATGTTGTATGCTATTTWTTATAATTTAATTATACATAACATTATAATGTAGGTAGTAAAATTGTTATAGCTTAAGTTTTTTATAAAAATTGATGCACATCTAATTGTTGTGCCAATGTGGAATAGATTGTAGGTTGCATTTAAAAAAAAAAGTATTTTCACGCAGAAGTAAATATATTAGGAGGTTATTACAAATTTTATAACTTATACAATTAGGTTGACATATTGTAAAACTTGATTTTGATTTAGTCAAATAACACTGAATTAATAATGTTAACAATAACTTCTTTTATTTTTTTACATAGGCTTCGAAAATAATTTTAAAATAAATGATGTAACTAAGTATAAAAAAAAATCGCACAATTTATAAATTTTTATAGTCTATAATGTGAATATATTACACCGTAATTTGTAGTAGATCGATGACAATATGGAATAACACAATATTTTTTATTTAGATATATGTAAAGGTAATAATTAAAGTTAATAAATAATATTTAATAAATAAATATTACTGAAGTTAAAATATTTATGATATTCTGCATACTTAAAAAAAATAAAAGGTCGATATCTCATATTGCGTTTTCTTTATGTTTGAGATCAATGATCATAATCCTAATTTTATTGACGTGGATTTCTGTTTTAAATTCGATTTGCCGTGTTCATTAATTATTATAACTATTAGAAAAGTATCTGTAAAAGAATGTAYCAATTATTCTACGAAAGTAACTTTTTAGTATATTATTATATAAATATTGATCAAGCCGGAAACGCTACAATAACATGGTTAGCGCCCGGGCACCGTATGTACTCAGCAACGCCTATAATACCTGACTTGACGCACACCGACCGATTTGTATAATGTGTGTGTATATATGTGTAGCAAGGCTCAAAGGAAATTGACGCGTTCGCCAAGCAGCTCAATGAGTGCTAATCTATGGGTGGTGTGTGCATATTTAAAACTAATGGTAAGGGGTAATTATTCAAATAAATGATAACAATTTTTGATTATTTGTTGCTGTATAATACACAAATTCAAATAATAAATAGTTTTCATTTACAGAAAATCAAGGGTTTAGAAAAATATATAATAATAGGTATACACGATTCGATAATAACTATGGCCCTCTTGGCCAATCAGGTAAAAAATGTTTATGTGCAGCTATTAAGCTCAAGCACTTGTATAAATATAAATTGATGAAAATATGATAATTTAGACCTTTTTTGGCCAGTTGATAAATATAATAAATACCTAATAAAAACGTGAAGATATACTTCCGATATTTAATAATTTCTGCATCTCTTTTGRGAACCAACAAGARACAATAATATAATATATTAAAATATAACGATAAAAAGTCACCGATTGACGGAGCAATGCTGTCTAGCAGCTACATGTCCCTTAGAGATTATAAAGACATTCACAATATTACTATGGTTATAGATATTAAAAGTTGAGTTTACGCTCGGGTACAAAAAAATATAAAGTGTCCATTTGTGTATTGAAATATGTGCACACAAATCTTACGAACGACTGCTATTGTTTTTAGTTGACAAGCCGGTGGTGACCGACAATGAATCATGCGTCGTCTTAATATATTATTAGTCAAAACCAAACAAAAAATAAATAAAAATCAGGAAACTTATGAAAATAAAATTTTGAAATGTCAATATTTTCAGACAAATAGACACTACGCAATATGGCTATTAATATTCAGGAAACTGTTTATTTTTTTTGTACATGCATTGTATGTAAATGAATCTAGATTCGAGATTGTTTGCATAACATTTGATTTGAAAAAAAAATAGCGTATAGACAATGTTGACAATGGTTTGTTTCGGGCTTTTATATTATTTAAACATTCGCGTTTTTTAGCCAACCGACACGAATATCGACAGGATACCCATCAATTGGTACAGTCGTCTCCAAGTTGTATTATTATTATCACGACCGAAGAAATAAATCGGAAACCATTTTTGTATGTTCTGCACGTTGCGACTCGATAAAACTAAAAAGGGTCGAACGTCGAATACATATAGGTTGAAATGGGCATGGGTAAAAGTACTTAGACCGAAATAGTTCTTGTTTATGATAATAGCTACCTATAATAGTGATTAAAAGACACAACAATGTGCACCTAAGCCGGTTCCACGAACATAAAAGTCACAATTGTTTATAGTGATATTTAGAAATTTGTTGTTCCATCAAAATAATACATTCTCCACAAACACATAATAATAATATAATAGTTGGTATCTATATACTATATAGATAAAACCAACTTACTTTTATTTAATATTAACAACCAACGAGAATTAATTACTGTTAAGGTGCGTTTACATTAGGCCGCGAACGCGAACGAACGCTAGCGAATGCTACCTAACGAATTCGATAGAGATTCGGCTGCACCGTTCAGACTATTCGTTCGCGTTCGTTCTCCAGCGTTCGCCAACATTCGCTAGTCTTCGGTTCTGAATTGTATTTAGTATTCATTCGACTATTGAGTGAATAAGTAGTTTGTTCAAAAAAATTTAGTTCTTTATAATAAAATATTAGGTTTTTTATTATTATTCATAATAATGTCATCGAGTGAAGATGATTTACTAGTAGCGTGTGCAAATTTTGTGATCATGAAGACCTTACAGGATAAAAAAAAAAAAAGAAAAAAAAGGCGTTGGTGGATAACAACACTATACCGAAATAGAGATTTACATAGTGGTAGTTTATTGTTACAAGACCTACAAAAAGAAGACACAGAACGGTTTTTAAATTTTTGCAGAATGTTGAACAATACATTTAATCAACTCCTCACCTTTATTGAGCCTAAAATGAAAAAAGGAGACACTCGATTTAGGAAATCTATACCACCAAACGAAAGACTGGCCCTCACTTTGCGATACTTGACTACAGGCGATTCGTTTGCTAGTTTGGCATTATTATTTAGAATATCAAAGGCATCAATTTCGTCTATTATAACAGAAGTCTGTACCGCTATAATTGAAGAACTTCAAGATTACGTACAGGTAACCACTCTTTTTTATAGTATTAGTATTAATATTTGTATGTAAATTATACATAATAATCATAATATATATAATATAGATTCTAAGCAATTAATAAATTAACTTTATATTATATTATAAAATATTCACAAAACACAAATTATAAAGGCATAAATTATAGATATTTGTAACAATGCGAAATAAATAAATGTTGAAATATTTTTCTTTGATAAAAAATAATAAATCTCACTTTTAAATAAATATTAAAACTTTAGAATACAAAAAAAAAAAAAAAACAATACTTAAACTTACTTTAAATAATTATTTAAGTAGGTAATTATAAASTCTAAAATTAAAATTAAATATAGTTATAAACAACAATTAAATAGGTGTCTCGTTGCAGTACCTACCCATTACTAATAATAAAAAAAACTTATAACTTTTCGTCAGTGTAAAAAACCTATAATATAATGAATAATGTATACTAATTAATATTAGTAGGGAATAATAGCTCATATTGTGTAGCTGTTGATACTTGATGGTGTTTGTTGTGGCAGTTGATACTCCAGTTGATATTCCGAAGATTGTGTTTGTGGTAATGGTGGTTTTTGTGAATGAATTTCATCCTGAAGCGATGGCGAATTTGTTGAAGATAAATATGCTGATGATAGCTGAGATGGGAATTGAGGCATTTCATACACAGATGGCGAGGGTGAAGATGTAGGCGTAGAGTTGTACAATTGGTGGACTTGTGGATAGATATTGTTCATTTCTAAATTGAATAAAATATTGAATAAAATATTATTAATCTATTGTTAAGCAATTAAACGTTGACGATAATCTAATTTCCTTAACTTGGAGGCAACCAATTCACCAAAAATGTCACAGTCATCTCGACATTTTTGCGTATTTCTTCTGGCAGAAATATCTTGAATGATTTTAAATGTTTCAGTTAATCTGGAATCTTCTTGCTTTTTTTGCCGTGCCGATTTTTTTGGAGATTCAACCACCTTTCTTTTGTTTTTATTTTTTTGTACGGATACATTTTGAGTAACTCTAGTGGATTGTGATGCAGGCATATTTTCGGAAAATAGTTCTGGTGAAATTTGTATTTCATGTTCAGTTATTTCTGAAATATTTTCTACTTTTTCTTCATGAAGTATATCATCGGGACTTGGTGATTCAATATTTTTGTTGACTGACTGTCAAAACAAATATAAAGTAATTTTATTTATTTATTTGGTTTTTATATTTTTAAAAAAAACTATTAGGTATATTAAACAAATGTATAAATATTAATTCAGAAATGTATTTAACTATTAGTAATATGAAAATTTAATTGCTTTTTTACCAAAAAAATTGCATTTAAAAATGTCATTGTGTATATAAAGTATGATAATATACGTAAATGTTTTAAGTTCTCATGAATAATATTTTATGAAATTATTACGACAAAATATCTAAAATTGTTTTTGTTTGTTTAAATAACACTTATGTTTTTGGTTTCAGTTAACCCTTAGCAATAAAAATTTACAAATTTAAACTATTTTACAACGAGTAGAAAATAATTCTCAAATTTTCACAAATTTGAGGAAATTTGTCAACATTTGAATTTTAAATCAATAAAAAAAAATGTCATGTAAAAAATACGACTAGGTATCTTCATACTTAATACATATAGCTACGCCCAGAATCTATTATGTAAGAAAAATTAGTTACCTACAATAAATACTTATGGTCTTGGCAAAAAGTCACCATCATAGCTTGTAGCTAATTGTATAATTATAAATGATAGAACACTAATCATAAATACTTATAATACTTTAGTCATATATTTTATATTATAATCATAGAATTTAGTTGTTATTTCATTGTATTCATAGTTATAATTTATTTTGCATTTATTTTCAATTAGATGCCAAAAACTCAAGATGAATGGTTAAGTGTTGCTAAAACTTGTGAAGAAATTTGGAACTTTCCTCATTACCTTGGTGCAATTGATGGAAAACATATCCAGCTTCAAGCACCAATTGGCAGTGGCAGTGAATACTTTAATTACAAAGGTACATTTAGTGTGTTTTTAATGGCAGTCGTGCATGCCAATTACAACTTATATATGCTAATGTAGGGTGTCAGAGTAGAATATTGGATAGTGGAGTTTTTCGAAACACGTCTTTTTTCAAATTACTACTAGATGAAAATAAATTAGAACTTCCTCCAGCGATGATTTTGAATGGAAGAGAAATAGCAATGACCTACGTATTTGTTGCGGACAAAGCGTTCCCTTTAAAAGAAAACATTCTCAAACCTTACCCCGGAACTCACGAAAAGGGATCCATCAAAAGAACGTTTAATTATCGACTATCGAGAGTCCGCAGAGTTGTCGAAAATGCGTTTGGTGTTTTATCGGCCGTTTTTCGGAAACCAATGTTGTATGAACCAGAAAAGGCAACTATTGTAGAATTGGCATGTATATATCTACACAATTTTTTAAGAAGAGACAAAGCATCTAAGGATATGTATTCACCATCTGATTCGTTTGATCGTGAAATTGATGGGCGGATTATTGATGGCTCATGGAGACATGAAGTAAATAGTAACATTTTACGACCAATACAAAAAATTGCAAGAAAATTCCCAAGAGTTGCAGAAGATTTAGAACAGAGTTTTCAGAATATTTTTCCAATAATGGTGCAGTATCATGGCAATCGGAAGTAGCCTAGAATTTTTTTATAAACATTTTTCAATTTTTTATTGTTTTTTATTTCCTCCATAAGTCGTACATAAAATATATTATATTATTACATTAAAATGATTTAATAATATAATAATATGTATTGAATATTAATATAATTTTAAAAAAGTTTGTCTTTCATCATTATGTATAGGTAACTATGTTAATTTTTTTATTAAGTTGAGTATAATTTATTTTGGCGGTAATTGCTACTATTAATATATTATATTGCATTTTTTTAGTTTTAAAAATAAAATTTTGATTGGATACAAAATGAAAAATATTTTTTTTAATTTTTCACTTTTGAAATAAATAAGCAGACACCATAATATAAATAATAGCCCGATCTGTATTTGATTCAGTATTGTGAACAAATTTTAAGTGTTCAACGACGTTATCACATGTAAATACAATAGGACAGATGGTTACTAGGAAGGTAGCTGGTAAGACAGTCTGGTACCTATTCCTGTAAAAAGTCCAAACTCCAAACTCCAATTATTTTGTATGTCAGGCGTCAGTAGGTATTTGAATATATCGAAGTATAAAAAAACCAGATTTATATAAAATAATACGGCAGATGAAATTTTAGAGATTAGGAAAAAAAGGACTGAAAAAAATGGTACTTTTCGGTTATCGTACCCTCAACGGTCGACCGGCCGACTGCGGCGGCGGTCGGGATAGGGGAATTATCGATTCCGCCGAAACTACCTGCTTAGGAAAAAGGTTTATATTGATTCCGCCGGCTATTAATTCCGCCGGCTACTGATTATAAAATCTACATATTGATTCCGCCGGCTATTAATTCCGCCGGCTACTGTTTATAAAATCTACATATTGATTCCGCCGGCTACTGATAGGTTAGGTTACTGATACGTTTTGAAGGTTAGGTATTTATAAAGATTTTAATATAGATTTATAAAATTTATAAATTCACTTATTAACTGTTTCCAAATATTACCAAATTACCATATTTTTATACAATTTATACTATATACAATTAACAATATGATATATTCAAATGTACATATTAATTAAATACTAATATTTTAATTTATAGTTGTATAATAATATATTAATATAATTATACTAAATAGACTATAAATTTTAAAATACATATACAAAGGGGGGATGAACAGTGTCCGGCGGAATCGATGTGTAAATATTGTAAACGGTAGCCGGCGGAATTAATAGCCGGCGGAATCGATATGCAGATATTATAAACGGTAGCCGGCGGAGTCAATAGCCGGCGGAATCGATATGCAGATATTATAAACGGTAGCCGGCGGAGTCAATAGCCGGCGGAATCGATGTAAAATCGGCGGAATCGATATACGCCCGTCGGGATATACCGATTCCGCCATCGTACCCCATTATATTTATCTCAATGCTTCCATCATAAAAATATTTTTTATTTACAATAATTTTTTTGGTATTCATATTGTATTGGTATTAATACTTTTTTATAATTTGTTTTTGTATTGATATTTTATTATACTTTATTGGTATTCATATTTTATTATAATTTCTTTGAACTCATATAATTTCATATTATATTATTTTATTAAAATAAATTGGAAATTATTTATTTATTCGTATGGCAATAAAACTTGACAATATTGAGATAAATATAATGGGGTACGAGAACGGAATCGGTATATCCGGAGACCTCCACCGCATTCGGCCGGCCGACCGTTGGGGTACGATAACCGAAAAGTACCAAAAAATTATTTAAATATAATATATTAATAACTAAATAAAAATAAAAACTTTTAATTAAAATTATATACTCAATACTCAATATACTCAAGCGTACTTACTGTAATTAATACATGTGAAATTATTAACTTATAAGTTATAGGTATACCTAGTTATAATAATAATAGTTAATAAATAATAAAATATTTGTTGTCAGTTTTTTACGAATTAATTTTAGTATAATAATTTAATATACAAGGAATTTTAAAATAATAGTTAGGTATATGCATTATGATAACGATTTATGCATAGTTAAAAATTATGTTTAGGCATACTTAAGTATAAAACTATTTAAATAACCGTGCAGGTACTTACGTTATTTATTGTATCCGTAGTAGTCAAAGGTTTGAATTTGTCTTTTAAAAATTGCAATTCTGCAAACGCAAACCATTTTGAATGGTATATTTCATTAGTTCCAGCTCCAGAATGACCACTAGTTCTTTCGCTTTGCCTCTCTCTACGATATATGACGCTAACAAACAAACTATTCATTTTTTTCCTGGTTTGATTAACATCTTTTCCCATCTCATTTGCAATTTCTTACCAAAAATCAATTTTTTTTTAGGCAGTTTGTACATGGCATTCTGCGGATTCCATAAAATTGGACGCGATTTATATAAATTAATTAAAGTGATGTATTCATCATCAGAAAAATCCATGATTAAAAAATTGTATTATAATTTTCAATAAAAACTGTAAAATAAACTGTTTAAACTGTTTAAAAAAATGTATTTGCATGCGAACGCGAGCGAATCGTCGAAACGGGCCGAATGTCGTTCAGACTGAATAGCATTTTATTTGATCTTACCGCCACCTGGTCGAACCTCTACGAATGCGAACGGCCATTTGTACTATTCGTTCGCGTTCGGCCTACCGTTCACACCTGTGTGTTCGGTACATTTTAGTATACCGAATTCGCGTTCGTTCGCGTTCGAGGCCTAAAGGCGCGTACACACGAGCAAACAAAAATAACGAATGCTCACGAACGTTCGTGTGCGACCCACCAATCACCATGTGACCGTGTAGACGACGTTCGCTAGCATTCGCAAGCGTTCGAGAGCGTTCGCTGAATAGATCGAATAGACTCGCACGGCGATCCGATCACTGTCGGTTTTTCAGTCATGCTCAAAGGAACACCACGAGCATTCGTGTCACCGTTTGGACGGTAAATTAATTTAAACGTGCGTTATGATAAAATAATTAATAAATAAGTACCTACTTAACTTTTTACATTTTTTTTATTACCTATTTGAAAATGGATTGGGATAGCAAAGATTGCTTGAATTTAATTGAAGCATTTAGATTGCAAGAAGTGTTGTGGAACTCGAAAAACCCATAATATTTTTCAAAAAATGCCAAACATGATGCTTGGTGTCACTTGGCAAAAGAAGTGAAAAAACCGGTTGAGGAAATTAAAAAAAAAAAATACTAAGTTTACAGGGATCATATCGTAGAGAAAAAGCGAAAGTAAAAAAAAAGTTATGGAACTGGAAAAGGTAAATATTAAAAATTAATAATTAATAATAATTAGAACGAAAATCTAGAAATTAAGTACCTACTTATAATATTATTTTTAAAAGGTGCCAACGACATATACCACTCTAAATGGTTTGGTTTCGACACCATGCATTGTTTTTTAGCCGATAGAGATGATCCAATACCGACTATAAATTCTGCAAATGTAAGTTTTACTAACTATGTCATTATTATATTTTTATATAATATAATAATAATATATAATTTATTATTTATAACTTAGCTAGAGCGTGTTTAGAATTTTTATTTTTAGACTTTAGGGGACTGATAAAAATATCATATTGCTTAGGGTATTACTCGGCAAGAAATACTGTTATTTATAAATACATTGTATAGAAAAAAAAACTACGTATAATTTCCAGATAGGTACTTTAATAAATTATTACATAAATTAGAATGAATAATGAAATATAAAGGGGTACTATAGGTACTCAATTAATCATTAAAGTGAAATTTTACATATTTTGCCATTGCACACTGCCATTTGTTAGAAAGTAATCAGCAAAATGTTCTCTTATTTCTTGCGCTTGAAGTGGTGGTCTACGAGCGACATTTCGTAAGGGTAATAAAGAAGTAGTATTTCCAGACTCCCTCCAATCACCCCGTATCATGTGGCCTTCCTCTTTTCTATCAAAAGATCCAGGTGGGGTGTAGATATTTCTTGACGACTTACTGTCTTAAAAAATTATGTAAGTAAACCACTGCCATAACTACAATTTGTGCTTTTTGAGGTTCCAATAACATAGGTTTTCTTAAAACACGAAAGACGGCAGATGAGATACCAAATGCGTTCTCAACAGTTCGTCGTTCACGACTCAAACAGTAATTAAATACTCTTTCTTTTGTGCCTTTATCATGGGTCCCAGAATACGGTTTCATAATATGTTTTGTTAGGGCAAAAGCCTCATCTGCAAGAATAACGAATGGTATATCTACATTTTTCCCTGGCAAAGGTACTGGTGGGGCAAGTTTAATATTCTCCCTTTCTATTTTTTTGTGTAATTCAGTATTTTTGAACACTCCTCCGTCCGAAATACGTCCTTGACACCTAATATCGACAAAGAGAAAATTGTAGTCTGCATCGACTAATGCAAACAATACAATGCAAAAATAAAATTTATAGTTAAAATATTCGCTGCCATTGTTCATTGGAGATTGCAAGACGATGTGTTTTCCATCCATAGAACCGATGCAATTAGGATAATTCCATGTTGTTTCGAATTGTTTTGAAATATTAAGCCACTCATTTAACGTGGAAGGCATCTATATTTAAAAAAATAGTGTTTTATTAATGTATATATTATATTATATATAATAACACACTTATGTATAACAGTAAAAACTATATATGATACACGATTAGTGATGTAAATAACATATTATAAAGTATATTTTTTTTCTGTATTATACCTTATATTATACGTGTATTATATTATGTTTAATTATCCCATGCCTATTATACACATTTTATACGGTTATATAAATTTGTAACTGCTTAAAAATTTAGAAACATTCGTGATGATTTCGAATTTTATCAATATTCCAACTTAAAACGCAATAAAAATGTATTGTGGATTTACGCTCAACATTTTTTTACCGTCGCATACCATAAAGCACAACTTCTAATTATGAGAAACCTTGTATTAAATTTAAAGCACTTTAACCGAGTGAAACATTTATTAATTATTAATAAATTACAAATATATTACTATTAAATTAAAACAAAATAACTAAAATCGTTATTTTTGGTTATAATATGTAATTTCGTCTAAATTTGAATTTAAAATCGATTTTGGTATATGGTGTAACTCTAAAACAAATAACCATAGAAACATGAAATTTTCTCTGAATTTGTATAATGGCATTTCCTATATACCATATAATTTTCAAAATATTTTGGCTTGTTTTGAGCTATTTAAGGGCATTTTCAGTTTCAATTTTTTTTAGTTATTTTTCTATAAATGTCAATAAATGTTATTCGTTGAGTCAAAAAGCTTGAAAATTTAATACAAGGCTCCTGATATATTTTTACAATAGCAGTTAAAAAATATAAAAAATACTTGGACACAGTTTTTTTTATAAGCATTTAAATTCGAATTTTGACAAAATGTATCAAATTTAAAATTTAAAAAAAATTTTGTAGCTAACAATTTTAAAATGTTCAAATTGTATAGCTAAGGATTGACAATTTAAAATAATTGTATGGAATGTACTGCGTGTATAATACCATATGGCATATATATAATACGATATTTGCATTTGCATGTATACTGTGCAAATTTACATCACTATTCACGATGTGTTATATATATTCTTATTTAATGTAGTATATTTATTGTTATTATGTATTTTAGATTCTAAGTGAATCAAGAGAAATGTGTGCTGGAATTGAAAGAGAAACATCCACAGACACAAGCGATGTTTTTATGTCAGAGGAGGATGCACTTGATACAAGTCAAACACAAACATTTACACAACAACAACAATTTGTATTTGCAGATAACAATGAGTTCACTTATCCAAGTCCAGTCCAACCTCCAAAAGGAATAAAACGAAAGAATTTAGCTAATACAGACTCCAGAATTGATGAAGCATTTGATATTTTGAAGAAATCTGCTTCGAACATCGAGTTAAGTCAACAATCTCCCGATGAGTGTACTACATATGGAACTTATATCGGAAACAAACTTCGAAATTACACTCCAAAAACAAAATCATTTGTTCAGTATTACTTCAACAATATTCTTTTTGAAGCAGATATGGGAAGATTTGATGGGAACGAAAGCAATCTAAGTTCATCTTTACCAACAAGTTATGGTAATCTACCACCAACTATACATACTTCAAGTCAAACTTCTCCTCTTATTATTTATCAAAATTTACTACAAGCACAACCATCTACATCAAACTCAGTTGATTTCGATCCAATATTGGAAACATCACATGGGTCTTCTTTAGAATCAACATACCTAGGTTAGGTAGCTACTTATTTTATTTTTATTGAAAAGTTTGTATTCTTTGTTTTTATTTTTATTTTATGAAAAAGTATGTTTTTTATGTTTATATAATGTTTTAATTTGAATTAAGAATAATAAATTGTTACGTTTTATTATTAAGAAAAATTTACTGATATTCATAAAACATTATTATTTATTACCTATGCATTACTTACTTTTACATATTCCTTTAAAACTTCAACAAGTGCCATGCAGACTTCAGGAATTATACATGAAATTATTTGTTTTGAAATTCCGAATAAATATTGTAAGCTGCTATATGAATCTCCGGTGGCAAGAAATCTCAGTGTAACAGCTACCTAGCATAACTGTTACCGAAATTGCTTGACGCATATTCGTATCTTGCTTGTTTATTTTTGGCCCGATGAGATTAATAATTTTTTCAAAATCAGCTGATGACATTCTCATAAAATTTTGAAAATGGAAACTGTGTACATCAGACTGCATACTATTTAAAAAATTAGCTCCTCTATTTTCATTATCGATGTAAAGTTTTGATCTCCAAAACCGTCTTTTACGTCGAACTTTTTTTTCTCTAATTTTCATAAGTTCATAAATTACAATAAATGCTGCACTTGCAACTTGTAAATGATTACTCATAATTCACCAATAAAATAATAATTAAATAATTGTTATACTTGAAAAATTGCTTGTACACTTTTTGTATTTAAACCAAGACACTACGTTTCGATACTAAAGTATGTTAACAACTGTACTCGACTCTGGAATAGGCCCGAACAGCTACGAATAGTATATTTTGTGCATTGCATGTGTCCACACGAACAAACAGCATTCGTCTGATTGTCCGAATATACAAACGCATATTATTATTATTATTATTATAAAACGCGTCCGTCCCAAAAACGAAAAACAATTGGACCAAAAGTTATAATTTTAATTTTAATTTTACACTTTCATCCAAAAATATATTATTTAATTATAAAAATGTTTAATATAAAATAATACCAGTGCCTACTACAATGTTGTTACTGGGTAGTCGTCAATGAATAATATATTTTTAATATATTAAATATACTTATTTTACGATAATTAATGACAGTAAACCGAGGCAATATTATATCCTATAATAAGGTATAGGATTTTCAACCTACGGCCCGCCTAATTTTCAAATTAATCAGACAAGCTGATCATCTATGTTTTTATTTAATAATTGCTAAATAATTCCTATTACATATCTTCAATATTGCATTAACTCTCTATCTCTATTCAAAAATATTCAGCCCGTGATCGCCGAAGCGTATTTCAGATTTGTCCCGTCGTAAAAAAAGGTAATCCTAATTTTTGCATACAAGAGGTGATGTGCACGCCAGACGATGTTCGCTGCGTTTATACAATAACATATTATTATTACAATATATTATTAATATGAAACAAAATAGCAATACAACAAAGACGGCCKTAATAATAATAATGATCATAATAATCATAAATATGACGTATTGACGTCCATTATATCCAATTGAGTGTGGATTGAACGGATGGGCACAGGAGTCCTGTAGCAACTGAAGATGGTGCGAGCGGAATGTCTGCCGTAATTAAAATAATATTATATAATATTATGTGACATAATCATGACACCGCGTCACCGCCAAAATCTGACCTCTGGATGTCGATCTTCAAGAGCTGCAGCGTAAATAGTACATAACGTAGATAGGTCATCGAACGCTGTCATCGTCGTCATTCGCACTTAAAATTAATTTTATGTTGTTCAATCAAAATGCGTAGGTATACGGTATACAGTATACCAAGCATGATAATAATTTGTGTAACGCATGCCATAATCGAAAACACCAGAGACGATTCGACAGCTGTCCTCTATGCGAGTGTCCAATATATTTTAATATGAATATTAAACATTATATTATAACATTTATATAGTTATTATGAATTATGATGATAATGACGATGATTTTATATTATTATATTATATATGTCACAGGGGATGATTGAAAAAAATATATAAAAGCATAAAATGTCACGTTGTCAAAAAAATAAGTAAGTATACACGAATAGAAAAAAAAACMCGGAAAAACTGCTTTACGTCGGACTCGTTTCAGCTCGACAGAGAAAACCCGTATAATGTAATATATAATATCCAGCTGTATACACCTTTTAGAAAAAAACTAATACTCCCGATCGTATTGTTTCCTGACGGTTCTCACGTTTTCCGGACGATATTGGCTTGAAAACAAATGGTCTTTGAAACCCTACATCGCCACCATATACGCTTAAGAACGAATACCACGAAATACGGCATATCCTGAAGTGTACATCCTATTTTAGATAAGATTTTTAAAAATGTAATCCGTTTTAAATACATATATAAAGAATGGAACTCACAAGTTTATAATATTATGATACATTAATATGCAATATATTATACACAACTTTTTTTAATAATTGTTCATTTGCTAAGCTGTATAGATTTTATAATACTAATTTCAATAATAAATGTTATCAATATTATCAAAACGATCCTCATTAAGTAAAATCATACGTATTACGGCGTATTGTTTTACGTTGGAAAAAGAAAAAAAAATGATTTTTGGCCCGTTGCAAGTTTTTGAAATAGAACACGCAAATCTCGCATTAATAAAATTAGTACAGAGAGAACATTTCGAAAAAGAGATAAAGGCTTTAAGAGGAGGTACGCAAGTAGCCACGAACAGTAAATTATTTAGATTACGACCCTATTATGATGATGAAGAAGTTCTACGCGTAGGCGGTAGATTAAAAAATGCACTTGCCTCGGACATGTATCAGCAAAATCTGATAGTTCTACCTGGTGATAGCGCGTACACCCGGTTGCTATTTTACCTTGAACACGTAAAGCTGTTGCACAGTGGACCACAAGCGCTCGTAGCATCGATCCGACAACAGTATTGGCCATTGAACGCGCGTAATATTGCTCGTAATACCGTGCATAAATGTGTTACGTGTTTTAAGTTAAAACCGGTTATCGTACAGCCGATTATGGGCGATTTACCGCGCGATAGAGTGACGCCGAGTCGACCGTTTTCACGATGTGGGATCGACTTCACTGGACCGACGGTAAAAAGCAGCTTAACCCGTCGTACGGCGCACGGATTTAGATGTCTCATTTACGCGCATGGGGTAAAAATTTACCCCTCAAAGATAGCTAGTTATTAATTATTATATTATGGTTAGTACATAACTATTTTCGGTAATAGTAACTTGT